TTCATCTTTGCCCTCTGCCATCCTCAGCTTATTGGTTGTGCTTCCCTAAGACTACTTAGTGGTTGCCGCAGTCCAGCTGCTCTGCATGAGTGATAAGTAGAGGAAAATGTTCCTTCTACCAACATACCTGGTAGGTCCCTTCGTTCCTACCCTTACTAGCAATCAGATGAACCCTGTCTTGACCGGGGTGGCAGTGGTCCTGGGGATTAAATCTAGGCCCTTTTCACTGAGCTGCATCCCAAGCCCTTTAAAAGTTTTGATATTGTTCTAAGTCCCTAAATTGCCCTGCCTTAAACTTTTGATCCTCCTGCCTCAGCCTTCCAGAATGCTGGGATTACAGATGTGCACCACCACACCTAGTTTCAAACTTGCTTTTGAATAATTAAGATTCATCTCCCGGGGTAAGGGAGAGGCCCCACTTTGCTAGTAATAGTTATTATTACAACTACATTTGTGAATGCTAGGACTCAGTCCTTTGACTTAAAAAAAAAAAATCATTCATTCTAGTAACTTCCTTTAGTCTTGTGGTTTTTAAAGATCACCTCCACTGTATTCACTGTATTTTGCTTTTTGTCTGGACTGCTTCTATGAATATCAGGCTCTTATCCAACTGCCTACCAGACATATCCATGCATCTTAATATTTCCGGTATTGAACTCCAAACTGTCTCCACCCCACCCCCATTTTAATAATGGCAATCCTGTTCTTTCAGTTTGCTGAACCTGAAAAACCCCGGTGTCATTATTGATTTCTTTCATACCCCATGTCTGATTCATCAGGAAATCCCACTGATTATGTCTTTAAAGTCTGTCTGGAAGTCGACCACTTCGTACCAGCTCCACTGCTGCGTCATGGTCCCTACCCGAGCGACTGCCGTGCATTCTGCCTGTTCTCTCCCCTGTCCTCACCATCCGTCCCCACTCTGTGCTGAACGTGGAAGTCAGTGGCTTTTCATTTTCCTTCAGGCCTTGTTCAGAGGGGGAGGGGGGAAAAATAGGATCCCTCAGGAAGGTTACCACTCAGTGGGCAAGGCTTAGCAGTCAGGTATGTACGGAAGTCAGAACACAGCGGATCTGTGGGGAAAAGTGGGTCAGGAGAACCTAACCCAGCAGCACAGCTGAAGCCCGAGTCTGAAAGCAAGGCAGGTAAAAGGCCCCTGGAGTAGGGGAAAGGGGGATGGATGTACCTCCTTACACACATTGCACTTGGTCTGTCCATAGCATGCTCTGTCAAAGGCACAACCTCTGATGCCTGTGTATGAATATTGCTGCTGCTCAAAAACAGTGTTTAAACGGATCCCAGGTCGTTTAGATTCTTATCGTAGTACTGGCACATCATTATACAGTTGATCCCCACTTCTCGCTAATTCTGTATCTGCAAAGTTGCCTGCTTACTGAAATTTGTGTTTTGGTTTTTTTTTTTGGTATCCGGGATCAAACTCGGGACCTTGTGCTTGTGAGGCAGGCAGCGGAACCACTGAGCTAAATCCCTGGCCCTGAAATTTGTTTTTATTTCCAAATCATTAAAAGTGCTGTTGAGGGCATTTGCAGATGAGTTGTGCAAAGTAGCCATTCGAGTTTTTCTTTTTTTTTTTTTTGGTACTGGGGATCAAACTCGGGACCTTGTGCTTGCAAGGCAGGCGGCAGAACCACTGAGCTAAATCCCTGGCCCTCGAGTTTTACAGACCAGCTGAAGTTGAGCAAGGTAGCTCTTTTTTTTTTGAGACAGGGTTCAGGGTGGCCTTAAACTTACTGTGTAGCCCAGGCTGGCCTTGAAGTTGCTGCAGTCTTCCAGCTTCAGCCTCCTGAGTACCAGGATTACAGCTGTGAGCCTGATGTCACTCCAGGCACTCTTTGCTTTCTTATTTTAGTTGTTCTACTTTAAACAAGTCTATTCATTTTCGACATGTTTTTTGCATTTTTGTACTTTTGCTGGTGACTTCACTATTTTGGTTAATATTCCTAAGTGCAAGAAGGCCATGATGTGCTCTTACGAGGAAAAGATGTGTTAGATAAGCTTGTCAAGTGTCAGTCACAGTGCTCTTGACCAGAGTTAATAACCTGCATAAATCAGTATGTGTGAAATCAGGGTTTTTGGTTTGTTTGTTTGAGACAGGGTCTCACTATGTAACTCAGCTGGGCTTGAACTCACTACGAAGTCCAAGCTGGCTTTGAACTTACGGGGAGCTTCCTGCCTCAGTCTCCCAAGTGCTGGGACTGCAGGCGTACACCACCATGTCCAGCTGAAATAAGGTGCATAGGAGAAATTAAATTATTATATTGGTTGGCTGGTGAAAATGTAACCAGAAGCTGGCAGGAACCAAACTTGTATTTGTAAGACAACAAATCCCTAGAAGGTATAATGATTCAGAATTTGCTAATTCAGCATGTACTGCAATTTTATGGAATGAAACTATGGAAAATAAGGAGAATCGACTACTTTCAGGGTAAATTTGATTTTGGGAAATGGCCAAAGTCATTTATGGCCAGTACTGTCAAGTTAAATGGGAATGATCAAGCTGAGCAAAGCAGCACGATTATTCTTTTTTTTTTTTGGTACCGGGGATTGAACTTGGATCCTTGCGCTTGCAAGTCAGGTGGCGGAACCACTGAGCTAAATGCCCGGCCCTGCAGCATGATTATTAAGCAGTCTTTCTCAGCCCTTCATGATACGTGGACTCCCTTTTGATAAACGTCTCACCTCATACCCCACATATTCTCATACAGTCCCCTTGACAGGCATGTGGAGGTTGAAAATCAGTGTACAAGTTTTATTTTATCATGAGCCAAGCAGAAAGATGTTGGTTTTTTATTTTTATGAGCATTTAGTGAAAACTAGAGTGTTACATTTTTTTCCAGATCAATAAACTTTCGTTGTGTTTAGTGCTTTTTATGACTACCCTGTCCTTCTATCAGGAATAATTTGGACAGCTGAGCATAGTGACCCCACCTGTAATCCCAGCTACACAGACAGCTAAGGAAGGGGCATCACAAGTTTGTGGCCATCCTGGGCAATTTAGAGAGACCCTGTCTCAAAATACAAAATTTTAAAAGGATTGAGGATACGTCTCAGTGGCAGAGTGCTTGCCTAGTAAGGCCCTGAGTTCAATCCAGTGATGGAAAAAAAATCTTTATAAAGCAGGGATTGGTAAGCATACCTTGTTGAGATAAGGCTTTGTAGGTCATATAGTCTCCACTGCAACTACTACACTCTCCCATTGTGTGTTGAAAGTAGCAGTAGACAGTAAGTATTCTCTATATCTTGATAGTATAAACCTCTCAACAGCCAGAGACTATGCCTTATACTATTTTATCCTTCATGCCACAGATGATGGCATTACACAGTAGGGCCTCAGTAAGGGTTGCCTTAAGACCCTGGTGTGGTGTAAATAATAAAAAGGCTTGAGTGTGTAGGCCCTGGTAGCACATTAGCAATGCAGAAAGCCCTGGGTTCAATCTCCAGTAATGCAAAAGGAAAAAGAAAAGAATTCTATTTTGTAGATGAAGAATTGAATATATCTTATAATACCACAACATAGAATATTATTTTATAATGAACTTTTATATAAAAATGACCTAGGCTGGGGATTTAGCTCAGTGGGGCTGCCGCCTGCCTCATAAGCATAAGTGCAAGGTTCTGAGTTTGATTCCTGGTACCAAAACAAAAACAAAAACCTTCCCTTTAGAGTTCAGTTGTTAAGACTTTATTTCCCCTAAGCACATTTGTGAGGGGTGTGTGATGTAATTAAATTCATAGGCTGAGATTTCTGAGGAATTGGATCATTAGCACTGGTGATTAGGAGCAATCACTAGACCTGCACTATCCATTGTAGCAGCCACATGAGGCTGCTAAGCTCCTGAAAAGTAGCTCTCTGAATTGAGAAGCTGTGTAAGTATAAAATACAGATGGGATTTCTAAGATTTAGTGCCCCCAAAAGAATGTTAAGTATCTCATGAATAATTTGTGTATTATTTACATATTGCAATGATAATATCTTGAATCTACTGGGTTAAATAACATTCTTAAAATTTCATGTTTCTTTTTAAAAATGTGTATTCTATACATATTTAAGATATATATGCCTTGCATTTGTAGCTTGTTTTATATTTCTGTTGGATGGTACTACCCTAATTATATGATCTTTTGATATACTATGTTATAATCAAGTATTAGTTTATCAAGATCCATGTAAAACAACCTAGAAATTCTATATAAGCTATTGGCTAATTCAATATTAAATGTTAGTTTAAAGAGCTCTTTATTTTAAATGATTCCAAAATGCTAGGAAATTATGCTTACTGTCTTTTCTAATTCTAGTAAGCTTTTCAGTGACTTCTTGTGGCAAAGAGTAATAAAGAAGGGCTAGCTAGTACTTGAAAATTTTATTAGAATACATTTTAATATCATCACAGAATAAATCAATTATGCCTCTCAAAAAGGAAATTTATTTTAAAAAAATACTTCTGACCCTTGAGTGTTTCCAGATAACTCTAGTAGTTTTTATAAACATTTCAGAGCAATTTTATTTATTTTATTTATTTATTTATTTATTTATTTATTTTTTCTTTGGTACCAGGGATCGAACTCGGGTCCTTGCGCGTGCGAGGCAGGCGCCGGAACCACTGATCTAAATCCCCAGCCCTAGCAATTTTATTTTTACTTTATTTCTTTAAAGGCACATACTTTTAAATTTTTTGAATTTAATTTAAAATCTTTTCTGAAGACCATTAAAGCAAAATTAAGTATATGTTTATTTTTGAAACTAAATATATATATTTTAATAGAAGATAAAATGCAGACTTTTCAGAAAATAAATATTTCATTCTTTTTTCACAGATTAGTAAAAGTCTCCACTGTACTATTTAATAATGATCATATTGATCCATATTGACCTTATTCTATTCCCAATTACTATATTTGTGTATTTAATAACTTTTATCTGAACTGTTTCATTTGTTGTATACATAATCATGTTTGTCTTTGAATTTTTTTTTTTTTAGGATAAATTTCCAGGTGTGATGTGTCTAGAACTTCTAAAATTATACTTAATGGCTTTTAATAACTGCTGTTGCAGTTTGAAGGAATTGTTTACAAAGCTATAAGTGTGTAAGTATCCACTCATTTTTTTTTCCTTAGTGCTGGGGATCGAACTCAGGACGATTGCCAGGCAGGCGCAGCACCACTGAGCTATATCCCCAGCCCGGTATCCACTCATTTTTAGCAAAACCTACCCAGACTGTTCTATTATTTAATAGTCTTAAGTCAAGATTATGTTCGCTTATTGACTCTGAATGTCCAAGTTGAGGTGGATCCTTGCTTTTCAACTTTACCACTATGATTCTTTGGTGTGTGTATGACATTTTAATAAATGTAAAAGTACTTTTTCACCCTTCTTTATGTCTAGTGAGCCACATTTCTTTCCATCTATGAATATATCATATAATGCATTTCTCATGAATGTGAATAACCTAGTCTTTGAATTCTAAAATGATTTAATATGTTATCTCCTGATAATATTTCTAGTTCTTTGAAAATGATTGAATCAGGTAAGTATTTTTTTTCTTCCAGAATTACTCACCAGAAGAATTCCAGGTTTTTCATACATACTATTGTCAGTATTCCTTTGATAATGAACTGCCTTAAAAATTAATTCATATTGGATGACTTTTTACTATGTCTTTACTTGGAATACTATTCCTTGAAGTGAATTCCAACTTTTAAAAGTGAAGTCTTATGGTGATTGTCAGTATTAACATTTTTCTTTAAGATTTTGGACTTGGAAAAAAAAAGATTTTGGACTTGAAAAGTATCTTTTGACTTTGAGTATTCCTTGCTAAGACTAAAAATCATACTAACTAGCCTCTAACCTAAAATAGGATAAGTAGATCTTAGAAATTTTTAATACCAAGGTGTTTTTATTTATTTTTTATTTTTTTATTTTTTGGTACTGGGGATCGAACTCAGGACCCTTCACTTTCCAGGCAGGTGGGGGTGCCACTGAGCTAAATCCCTGGCCCCCAAGTTGTTTTTAAAGTAGAGAGTTGCCCAGCCTGGTGGTACACGTCTGTAATCCCAGCACTCTGGAGGCTGAGGCAGGAGGATTGCTGGGAGTTCGAGGTCAGCCTGGGCTACATAGTGAGTTCAAGGTCAGTCTGAACTACCTAGTTGAGGCACTGTCTCAAAACAAAAACAAACAAGCAAAAAAGTAGAGCTTTGAGAAAACTCCAAAACCATAGCTGTTAGAGTATGCAAAGAAGAGCCATTTAGGAGGAGATGCTGAATCATCATCACCAAGGTCTGTGGAGTAGGTGGCCCTGGTTTTTTTGGTACCATGGAACGAACTCAGGACCTTGCGCTTTGGAGGCAGGCGCTGGAACCATTGAGCTAAATCCCCAGCCCTGGCCCTGTTTTTTGAAAGGTTAACATGATCATCACCTTTTCTTTATATTTTAAGCATACATGTCCAGTTCTCATAAAAATTGTTTTCAAGTTTATAGATACTTAAGGTATTTAAGTACAGAGTAGACTGAGTACAGTTCTTTGGACTCATTTTATTAATCCATCTTTTCAATATTGTGTTAAGATTGGGGGCTGGAGTGTAGCTCAGTGGTAGCTCATACCTGCCATGCAAGAATGAGGCCCTGGATTTTATCCTCAGCCCCACAAAAATAAAAGCAAGAAACCCAGGAATGGGACCAGTTTTGAAAAGATGAGAAAGCCACAGAGGAGATAAAAGATGAGTTACACACATCAAAGATGTGCCTCAGAAATATTCAGAATATGTTGCATTAGAAAAAGCCCGCATGCCAGGGATTTAGCTCAGTGGTTCCACCATCTGCCTCAAAAGTGCAAGGTCCCCAGTTTGATCCCTGGTACCAGAAAGAAAAAACCAACATCAATAGGTATATAAATATAAATGTTGTCATTTAAACTTACTAAGAAAGCCTGGGTGTGCAAAAGCAACATGGTCAAGCAAGGCTGTGTCCATCCTGAAGGCTGATGGTGACAAAGAGCTGAGATTGAACGGTTCCAAAGCAATGTCTGAAGACACTTAACTGACCTTGACAGCTAGCAAGAGGTTAATTTTGATTGACATGGGTCTCACTTTAACTTGGCCTTAAACACCCAGTAGAAAAGTATAACGAAAATATTAAGTCATGACTATAATAATAAAGTTAAATATAAAAAGGGCCTCCCATCACTGACCCCTTCTGGCAGTTTCCAGCTACACTAGTAGCTGACCACTGTTAGGGTTCATTAAAAAACTATTTGCCTGGTTTCGCCACCTGCTGTGCAAGCACGAGGACCAGTGTTTGATCCCAGGTACAAAAATATGGTAAAAGGCTGGGGATTTAGCTCGCTCGATCCCTGGTACACACACACACACACAGACACGCACAAAACTATGGTAAAAAAAATCTTTGAAAAGCGGGGTGGGCAGGCAACCCACTTTCTGGTCCCCTTTCTGTCTTTCTTAGAAGCTATCTTTCAATACATTTTTTCTACTCTTAAAAAAAAAAAAAAAGAAAGGTAAGTGTGGTGTGCAGGCCTCCATGGGAGGCTGAGGCAGGGGGATGGGGTTGAGTTCCAGCCCAGACTACATGGTGAGTTCAAGGCCAGACTGAACTACAGTGGACCCTCAAGTTATGACCAGACTGACAGACAACTTGGGGTAACTAGGTTAATGGAATGGAAGATTCATCTGCCTCTTATTCTCTATAGTGGTACCCAGATCTCAGCTGTATTGACTTCCAACCAACTTGAGTTACAAACGGCCGTCAAGAACTGATTGAGTTCATAAGTCAAGGGTCCACCATCTCAAAAATAAAAATAAAATAAATAATATAAAACTTTGTTCATAAAAAATACAAAACTGTGGGGCTAGGGATTTAGTTCAGTGGCTCTGAGCCTGCCTGGCAAGCATAAGGTCCTGAGTTCAATTCCTGGTACCAGCTCTCCCCAAACACAAAACTAGTCCAGTGTGGTGGGACATGCCTATGATCCCAGCACTTAGGAGGCTGGGGCAGGAGGATTGCCATAGTTCCAGGCTAGCCTGAGCTACATAGCGAGACCCTATCTCAAAACAAAACAAAACAACCCAAGAACCAAAACAAAAGACCTACAGCAAATAACCATAAATATTTCTAGAAAATAGATTAGAAGGAAATATACTAACATTTAACAGATATTATTTAAAATGGTATCGCAAGATTTTTTTTGTTTGCCAAAATCTGTCCATATCTATCTATACATGTATATCTGTACATATATATACAGATATATATTATACAGAAAATGTATTTTAAAAGAAAAAATATTTTTCAAATAGCATATCCAGACTTTTAGCTGATCCAGTTAAGATCTTATAAGTAACATGAGTATTATTACCTGCATCTGATATTTTTTTCCTAATTTTTCTGCAATACAAAATTTCTTTTAAGTAGTGGCCCTAAAAGCTGGGGTTTGGGTAGGGTAAGGTCTCATTCTATTTCATTTGAAGTTACTATATTCAGGTACTAAGGTTTTTTTTACAAATTTAGTTTGTAAGAACCCTTATATCTTGTATACTACAAAAACTATTTTAAATAATATTCAAGTCTATTTAAAAATGCTATTTTTTTTTTTTAGCACCGGGGATCGAACTCGGGTCCTTTTGCTTGCGAGGCAGGCGGTGGAACCTCTGAGCTAAATCCCCGGCCCTATCAGCTATTTTTACATTTTATGGTAGCCTTTTTACAATGTGAAATTGGTATATTAACTTCCTGATTAGTAGACTCCAGAAATTTTGAAAATGACACATTATTTGAAAAATTAATCAATTTCTTAGATTTTACAATTGAATAATTTGAAGTTAAAATACGTAAAATAAGTTTAAGCCACTTTTACTTGTATAATAACTTGATAACATTTTAACATAGGCTGCTTAATGATTGTATTTGTTGCTTTTTCAACTAGAATGGAGTAAATAAACACGTATTTACGACATTTTTTTTTTTTTGACATTATGTTTTGAAATATTGGTTAGATCCACTTGGGCTAGTAAGTGTGCCACAGAAATGGGAGGCCAGAAGGAAAATGAATAGTTAACCGTGGAGGAGGAGAAAACAGCCCAGCGCTTTGACTAGAGGCAGCTGGGAAAGTGACGTCCTGAGCCTTCGCTGTTCTAGAAAGTGCGGAGACACGTAGTGGAAGGGGCGGGCCGGAGGCCGGCGCCGGTGCGGCGTGTATTTATCTGTAGGCGAGCTGCTGCGGAAGGAATTACAGTAAACACGGAGGCGCTGTCTGCCTGCTTCCCTGAGACAGCCGGCTGAATTGCTGGTTTGCTTTAACTTTTAAAATACCCAGCTGGGTTTCTTTTCCTTAGACTCATTGTATTGCTAAGACTAGGGCCGCTGTTTTCTTTTACAAAGGGAGAGCAACTGAAGTTCGTTTCAAGGCATTCGAAATGGGGAAAGACTATTACGGCATTTTGGGAATTGAGAAAGGAGCCTCCGATGAAGATATTAAAAAGGCTTACCGAAAACAAGCCCTCAGATTTCATCCGGACAAGAACAAATCTCCTCAGGCAGAGGAAAAATTTAAAGAGGTCGCAGAAGCTTATGAAGTATTGAGTGATCCCAAAAAGAGAGAAATATATGATCAGTTTGGGGAAGAAGGTAAGTATTCAGTGCATATCTTTCTGACTCTTCAGCTCTGCCTTTATTTACTTTTTTTTGCTTTCTTTCGCAGGCTTCTGGTTGTCATTAGATTCTCAGAGATGTTACAGATAGATAGTAGATGAAAACAAAATTTCATCCCTAGTTAGATGAATGAGAATTGCATAGCTGTGAATGAAAGTTTGCCTTTTGGGGAGGATTTAGCATTTTGAATTGTACATATTCCACCATCAAACTTGTGACGCAAACATTGTATATTTTTAGAGAAATCTTGAATTCCCACACCCATTAATGAATTGTGTCAAAAAGTCTTATGCAACCTGTTTTGTTTTCTAAAGAAATTTCTGCCAGAATAAAGAGCCTTCAATCATTTAAAATCTTAAGAATGGCAGTTCAATTCTGGGTAGTTCACATTTTATTCTCAAAAGCAAAAAGAAGTTTTTTGCCTTTCTCTGTTAGAGCAAGGCTGGTTTAGACTGAACAGGACAGAGTCGTCTGTCTTAGAAGCAGAAGGCGCAGGCATTCAGCTTTTAGTTGTTTTTGGCATTCTGCCTAGAGAGGAAAGAATTTTCCTGATGTCATAAAATACCAGAACAAGTTTTTAGTTTAATTGTAAACAGTAATTGTGTGCCAAGAAAATGAGATCTCAGAAATACAGTTTTTGACCTAAAATGGCCACCTTGTTAGAATAATTACTGATTTTCTTTTAGGTAAGTGTTTATTTTAAAAATTTACTATCTAGGTGTAGAGGAAAGCAGGACGACCTCCCTTCTCTCTCCCTGCCATACTTTGTTTCTTGCATTGTAAAATCAGAAATTAGTGAACACAGTAAATGGGGGTAATTTAAGACTCTTTTATCATTCTGGATATAAATTAGAGCTGTCCACCATCTCCATATAAACGCAGCTGGAAAGTAAGACTATTCGGATAGCTAATTAACAAGAACAACAGCCAAACCCTTTGATTCCTATAGTTCCTGGGGTTTTCAAATTTTAAAATCAGATCCAAGGTACTTTGCTCAGAATGTCTTAAGTCACTGTAGCTATGAAAACTTTTTTGCTAGCCCTTTGCTTTCTTTATTTTCAAAAATTGAAGCTTCTGCAGCTGCTTGTTGGTATGCGGATCTGGATCTGCAGTGTCAGGTTCCTAGGGTCAATACTGACAGGGCAGACAGTGGCAGTTCCACTGTCCCTATGGCCACACTACTCAGAATACCGTGATTAGGCCTATGTCCAAGACTGAGCAATTCTGACATACCACTACTATTTTTCTCTTTTTTTTTTCTTGGTTCCGGGGATTGAACTCAGGACCTTGCACTTTCGAGGCAGGTGCGGTGCCACTGAGCTAAATCCCTGGCCCATTACTATTATTTCTTCATGAGGTGGGTTTTAAAAAAAAATTTTGTAAATTCTCATAGAAAAGCAGATATCCACTGCTTTAAATCTAAAGTATTTGGCCATAGCCCATTGATTGCTCAAGTTTATCTGTGACTCAGTTATTGGATTCAGGTTTATTAAGGATGTTTGTCTTCTGAATTTCCAAGTCACCAAATGATGCATTTTTCTTGGTTTTAATGTTATTATTATTATTTTTTGTTCTGTTTTTTGGTACCGGGGATCGAACTCGGGTCCTTGCGCTTGTGCAGCAGGTGGCGAAACCACTGAGCTAAATCCCTGGCCCAATGTTATTTTAAAAAAAAAAAATTGTTAGTACATGTTTGCAGTACATGATGATTACATTCATTATGGGGAGTTGGTACATGTACATAACATGTCTTCGTTCTTTTTATGTCCCCTCCCCCTCTGTCATTATTATTATTTTATTATTATTTGTGGTACTGGAGATGGAACCCCGGGGAGCTTTGCCACATTCAGGTAGAGTTTGGATAAGTGGCCGAGGCAGCACTCAAACTTGAGATCTTCCCGCCTCAGCCTCCTAAATTGCTGCGATTACAGGCACACATGCCACCATGCCCAGCTCATGAAAATCCCCTTTAGGAGCTGGGGGTGTTGCTCAGTGGTGGAGCACTTGCCTAGCATGCACAAAGTCCTGGGTTCAATTCTCAGCTTCTCCCAAAGAAGAAGAAAAGAAAAAAATCCTTTGGTACTGTTGTCAGAGTGAGGGAAAGCTTTTTTCTCTTTGCTTTTTGTTCTGTCTCTGCCTGCAAGTAACGAAACATTGAGTTTTAAGACTGTGAGGATACTTAATTTACCTGACATACTTATTTTTTCTTCAGTTAGTAAAGTCTTGGAGCTGGGACAGTGGAAATAAGAAACTATAAACTGAGAAGTTTATGAGCTGATGCTAAATTTATGTATTTAGGAATTAAGAGAGCCACTGGTGTAGTCTATTCATATTCTGAAAATCTCTCCTCTCTGCAATTTAAGATATTTGGTTTTTTAAAAAGTGACAAAAATAGAGATGTTAACCAGGGCTATGGTGCATGCCTGTAATCCTAGCTCTCTGGGAGGCTGAGGCAGGAGGATCACAAATTCTAGCCCAGCTTGGACAACTCAGTGATTTAGTAAGAACCATCTCAACATAAAAAATAAAAGCACTTCAAGATGTACTTCAGAGAGGAGACTCTAAGTTCAGTCCCTAGTACAAATAAGTATCTGACCTGGCAATTCTAGTTCTAGGAATCTATGTAAAATAGAAATGAAAATATATGCCCATATAAAGACAGGTTCACAGCAACATTATTTGTTATGGCCCCAAGTTGAAAATAATTCCAAGTACCTTCAATTGGTGTGGATAAACAAAATTCATGTGCAGCAATGGGTACTGTTTAGCAATTTAAAGGACCAATTTCGTGACATGCTGCAGCGTGGATGAAACTCAAAAAGCAGGCTGAATGAAAGAAGCCAGATATAGAAGATTTCATTTTATATGATTCCATATACACGAAAGGAATGAAAATGCCAAATGTATAGAAAAAGGCCACAAATTTTGCTTGCCTAGCACTGGAGGTAGGAATAGGGATTCTCTACAAATAGGATTGGAGAATTTTTTGGAATGATAGAAATGTTCCTTTAATGCATTGTGATGATGGCACAACTGTAAATTTACCACATTTGAGCTGTATATTTACAAATGGTTAATTTTGTGGTATGGGATAAGTATTTTTTTAAAAAAAGAAATTTTGCCAAGTGTAATGGTGTACACCTGTAATCCCAGCACTCAGGAGGCTGAGGCAGGAGGTTCTGTGAGTTCAAGGTCAGGTTGGGCTAAATAATGAGACTCTGTCTCAAAACTGAGCAATTAAAAAAACCAACTAAACAATAAAAGAAAGAAAGATAAAATAAAATTTTTCTCCATAGTTGAATCTTTAAATTAAAAAAAAAACCACAACTACAAAAATTTAAAATTGGATTTTGAACCACTTTCTCCCCTAATGTTTTAGATTTAGTTCTGAATGTTTCAGTAGAAGTGAACAGAAGTTTGTATTACAAGATTAATAAAAAAAAAAAAGGGCTGGGGATTTAGCTCAGTGGTGCTGCTGCCTGCCTCACAAGTGCAAGGTCTGGAGTTCAATCCCCAGTGGCAAAAAAAAAAAGGAAAAAAAATAACACATCCTCATTTATTCTAGTTCTGTAACATTTCTTTTTCTTTATGTCTTCTTTGTATTGTTTATTGCCTATAGATTACTCAGTATGTTACTCAAATATTGAAAGGTAGTGTGATTATGATCAAAATTATATTTAGTGTATTAATCATTATGCTAGTTTGCTGTTTTTGTTCTTTAATTTACATATCTCTTTATTTACTATGTCCTAAAAATATATGTCAATTGGATTTTGTGGATTAAAACTGAAGAATTTAATTGTTCTGTACTCGAAGTCTTGGTATAATCTGGACTTTTACATATTAGATCTCCCGAAAGTAAGTTGTTAAAGTACTGCCATTCTTTGAAGTCCTAGTTCTCCAGCGTTTCTCCTTGGATGAACTTTTAGTCCCATTAGTAGCAAATGAAAGTCATTGTTATGGGTACTATTCCAAACACATATTTGCTTTTGGATTGCAAGTTGGTTGGTTGATTAGTTTTTAAATAACAGCAGTCCATGATGAAGAGCCATGATTGGTGACATGCTTGTTACAATTCAAGTGCTAGGTGATGCAAGTGATTCTTGTGTAATAATTTATGGTATAATAATGACATGAAATTGATAGGATTTTCTCAGTCATTAGAGTAGCTACATTCTGAAAGCTACACATTTGACTGCTTAATGTCTAGGGAAACCTCAAAGCTGAATTGGCGGCTTTTTGTCAGCTTTGATAAAGACAAAGTCAAAAAAAAAACCTTAGGGGCCAGGATTTAGCTCAGTGGTTCCGCCGACTGCCTTGACAGTGCAAGGTCCCGAGTTCAATCCCCGGCACCCCCCCCCCCCCAAAAAAGACAAAGTCACTTCAGACTGTGAATCTTCCCACAGACTCTGTAACCCTGAAAGTGCTACCATTTTGGCAGAGGGAAGAGGTTTTAGGGAAAAGGCAAACCCATGATGTAATAACTTAAAATGTTATTCTTTCTTTTCATGAAGTCATTATGGGTCCAAAGCATTTTTTCTTTTTATCTTGTAGAGGATTAGAGTGCACAAGCTGATTTACTCAGCTTACTCATCCATCTCTCCCTCTTTATTTACTTATTTAATTATTTTTTGTGGTGCTGGGATTTGAACCCAGGGCCTCATGCATGCTAGCATGCTAGGCAAGCACTCGACTCTGACCCAAACCCCATTTCTTTTCGATTCTTCCTTTTCTTTCTTTTTTTGGGGGGGAGGTTACCAGAGATTGAACTCAGGACCTTCCGCTTGTGAGGTAGGCGGCAGAACCACTGAGCTAAATCCCCGGCCCCTCTTTCTCTTTTCTTTATCATTTCTTTCTTCCAATTCACTTAACTCTGATAAGTTATTCTACACTATGAAATCTGTGGGATAAAGGATAAACTGATTGCAATGATTTAAGTATGGCCTTGAATTGTATGTGTATTCTGTCATTTTAAAAAATCTGTCATTAGCCTTTTAGCATTTGGAGCTATACTTGTCCTACTAAAATTTATAAAAGGGAGCTACATATTAAAAGTTCTTATCCTGCTTGTATTTAGCATTCAGTTTCTACAAAGAATTTCCCTAAATGTATTTAGATATATCTTTCAATATATGTTTTGATGATTTTCAGACTATTAGGTTTCTCTTGGTCTCTTCAGATTTTTATTCATGGAGGAAGGTAAAAATTTAGACATCAGTTGAGCCTTTGTGAGATGATATAGAATACATACATATATTTTCCATGGGAGAAGCCAAATGGAAGAATAAGAAATATGCACAACTCTCTTTGAAAGCACGAGGAGAATTTCTAGTGGAATTTTAAATAACTAAATCTATTTGTATGCATACGTGATTACATTTTGCATTGCTTTGTTCTGCCTTCTCTGTACTGATACTCAAAGATACCTCTTTCTAATTTGATGTAGGACTTTAAGAATTAATTGATTCTCTTCACTCAGTATTCATCGATGCCTGTCATTTTCAGTCCTGTATGCATGAGTATTGCAAAAATGAATGAAATATATTTCCTGCCCTGAGACTGTTCCCTGTATAAAAGAATATACATTGGCATATAACAGTTGCCCAGCTTAAACTTTCCATTGCTCAGATCTTTATTATCCTGTTTCCTTGGTTAAGGATTCCCATCAGGCTTCCCCAGAAACTTTGCTTCTTCCTTGTCAGTACTGATCCCGTAAAAGATCACTCTGCTATTCTCTTGTGGATTTTAGTAGAGTCCTTGGGCACATAGTTGAAATGCTATTGTGGATATATATAGAAGACCTTCGTGAGTTGTATGTTACTTACTTGAGTCTTTGAGCAAAGGGCTACTGTACCTGTCTGAAATGGATTGCCCACAATAGACAGAAATAACCTTTCCAAAGGCCCTACCGGGCAGGAGGATTTACAGCTCTTGGTTTCAGTCTTGTTTTTATATGCTTCGAATTAATGCTATCATGTGGTTTACTTAGATAAACAGTTTTGGTATTTTGGATGGGAATAACAATTTTAGTGGTCTCAAAAACATTTTTCATAGAGTGTCCTTAGTATGATTTGTTCACTGTCTGCCATGGAAAGAGTTCTATTTTAATTTCCCCCCCAGTTTTGGGGCTTAAACCCAGGGCCTCACACATGCTAGACAAGTGCTCTGCCACTGAACTATATCCCCGTCCCATTGTCTATTTTTACTCTGATACAGGGTCTTGCTAACTTGCCCAGGCTGGCCTCTGCCTTCTGGCCCTCCTGCTCAGTTTCCCAATTAGCTGGAATTATTTTCATTCTTTGGTAAAAGATGTCCTGAAATAAAACTATGCATATGGATTACACAGTATTGGTCGTGCTTATTGATTATAATGGTACTTAAAGTTTTGCTTTGATTACTGAGGGCTTTCACCTGACTTTTGTGCTGCTGTTCTCACTTGGCATACTTTTTTTTGTTAGTTTTGTTTTTGAGACAGGATTTTGCTATATATATGTAGTTAAGTCTGGGCTTGAAGTCTGGGTAGCCCAAACTGGTCTCAAACTCCTGCCTCAGCCTCCTGAGTGCTGGGATTATAGGCCTGCACCACTATGCCCAACTTTACCTGGCATATTTAAAAAATTTAAATTTATGTGCTTTAGTATATCTGACCAGCAGTTTATGAGATAAGAAATTCTCAATTTTATCTTATTTTTTCTTCTGTGAAACAAAGATTCAGGAATAAATAATAATAATTATGTATGTTCTATGCTGGGGATCAAACCCAGCATGTGCTAAGCAAGTGGTCAACCATTGAGCTACATCCCTAGCCCGGGAATAAATTATTAAAGCTTAAAATTTAGAAAACTAAAAATTCAATTTGATGGAATTGTCAGAAGTTATGTAGCTGTTCCGTTTTTATTTTATTTTATTTTATTTTATTACTCAGTGGCATGGGAAGGGTTTAGGCAGAGATTTTAGGATGCACTCAGGAGTGGAGTATGGGTGCACGGAGAAGTGAGACACAGCTGTTCTGTATTTAATTACAATGACATTTCTGGTCACTAACAAATTTCAAACTAAATAGGCCAATCTTTTTAGTAATAAGGCTGTTTTCTTTTGTTCTGTTTTGCTTTTTGAGACAGGGTCTTACTGTGTAGTCCAGGCCAGCCTAGAACTTAACTGTGTAACCCAGACTGGCCTTGAACTCACAGTGATCCCCCTGCCTCAGCCTCCTGAGTACTGGACTTCCAAGCATGTGCCACCATGCCTGGCTCTGCAGTACAGTTTTGAAAGTCTTACCTGTCAATGAGATGCAAGCTTCTTTCTAATCATCCTTATTTCCTCACGTAGGGTTGAAAGGAGGAGCAGGAGGTACCGATGGACAAGGAGGTACCTTCCGGTACACTTTTCATGGTGATCCTCACGCTACATTTGCAGCATTTTTTGGAGGTTCCAACCCCTTTGAAATTTTCTTTGGAAGACGGATGGGTGGTGGCAGAGATTCTGAAGAGATGGAAATAGATGGAGATCCCTTCAGTGCCTTTGGATTCAGCATGAATGGGTATCCGAGAGACCGGAATTCTGTGGGGCCATCCCGTCTTAAACAAGACCCCCCCGTTATTCACGAACTTCGAGTCTCACTGGAGGAAATATACAGCGGTTGCACCAAACGAATGAAAATTTCTCGAAAAAGATTAAACCCTGATGGAAGGAGTTACAGATCTGAGGACAAAATTCTCACCATTGAGATCAAAAAAGGGTGGAAAGAAGGCACCAAAATTACTTTTCCAAGGGAAGGAGATGAAACACCAAATAGTATTCCAGCAGACATTGTTTTCATTATTAAAGACAAAGATCACCCAAAGTTCAAAAGAGATGGATCAAATATAATTTATACTGCTAAAATTAGTTTACGGGAGGTAAGTTAGAAGTTTATGATTTTTTTTTTAAACAGTTCAAAGTTTGAGAATAATTGAGATCATTTTGGTCCCAGTACCTCTAATCATTTGGTTTACCTTTCTTTCTTTTTTAAATTTATGATTCTGGGGCCAAACGACTTATGCACCTGAGTGACCTAAGGAATTAGCTACATGATAGATAACATTATTCAGTGCTTGCCACACAGCATTTTAATTCTCATAGCTATACTCTTGATGTAAGTGGTGCCTTGGTTCACAAATTTGGTTCTCTCTACAATTCTGGTTGCCAACTGAACTGGATGAGAACCGAATCAAAATTCCCTGCAAGGTCAACATTGAACCTAACCACTGAATTTAATTCAGTTCTCATCCAATTAGTTTTGTGACCAGAACATGGAAAGAACCAAGTTCATGAAACAAGGTACCACCATACAACTACTGTTATATCTCTTTCATGGCTAACAGTGGTTTCCTAAGTTTAAGTTACTTATGTTAACTACTTAAATGTCAGTGCAAATTGGGTTACATTCTACTGTTTTAGAATTGTGGTCTATGAGATTGGTGATTTCATCCGTGTAGATCATTTATAAAATTTGCTCTGAAATTATTAATTTGGAGTAGTGATTATATTACAAAAAGCATTAAAATAATTGATATTAAATAAGTTATAAATTTATAATAATGTTACTAACACAATAGTACTCGAGTTCTCATTTGCACTATTGCACACTGGACTGTAACCCATAAAATGTGACCATGTGAGTTCCCTGCTTAAAATGCTCAAATGACTGCATGGCCTCTACCATAAAGGCCAAACTTTAGCTCAAAATTAAAGATCACTGGGCCGGGGATTTAGCTCAGTGGTTTTGCCGCCTGCTGCGTAAGTGCAAGGACCTGAGTTCGATCACCAGTACCAAAAAAGAAAAAAAAAGAATTAAAGATCATTTCAAATCTAATTTCTACCTAAAAATGTATTCTCTTTCCCTGATTTTGCTTGGTTGTTATCTTGTCTACTTCTGCCATCGTGTGAGCTCTGCTCCATGGAGCTGTTGTTCTTCTGCTTGCCCTTACACCTGCTGTGGGTCTAAGGCTTGGCTCAGAACTTGCGCTCCCAGAAGCTAAGGGGACAATGTGGGGTGCCCTTTCTCTCACAAAAGACCTGTCACACCTCTGTGACCCCACTGCGCTATACTGCCAGGGCACACGTATGCTCCTGGGAATGCCTTGTGCATCCCTGGGATGGGGTCCTTCTGTGGTTCAACAGGAAGTGCGTGGCATGGTGACACTCAGTAAACATTTGCTAACCAAAGTGCGTCTGTCCGTTCTTCCCAGTTCTAAGTTTCTCTGTTTTCTGCCAACCCATTTCCTGCATTTTGAATATTACAAGAGCAGCTTCACATTACCTATTTCATTCTAGGGCATCCTTTCCTTTTTCCTCTCTTTCCTGTCTTTTGTAATATTTCTGATTATGCATGTTCTGAACAGTTTTATAAGTGTTACTATTCTTTGGAAATTAAAATTTTACCTTAGTGCCAGGGATTTAGCTCAGTGGTTCCGCCGCCTGCCTTGCAAGTGCAAGGTCCCGAGTTCGATCCCTGGTACCAAAAAAACAAAAAACAAAAAACCCAGAAAAAATAAATTTTACCTTAGTGGCATCCTTTACCACCTGGTAATACTTTTAATTAGATTTTTAAGTTTTGGAGTTTGTTAATTTTATTTGGTCCCTTTTAGGCATTGTGTGGCTGCTCAATTAATGTGCCAACAATGGATGGAAGAAATATACCTATGTCGATAAATGATATTGTGAAACCTGGAATGAGGAGAAGAATCATTGGATATGGGCTGCCATTTCCAAAAAATCCTGACCAGCGTGGTGACCTTCTAATAGAATTTGATGTGTGCTTCCCAGATACTATATCTTCATCATCCAAAGAAGTTCTTAGGAAACATCTTCCTGCCTCATAGAATAAAGAACTTTGTTACCCATATTTTGATAAGGCACTGAAAATATAAAAGGACTGACAGTTTACTGATGTAGATGTGAATTCTGTATAAAGATGTGTAAATTCTTTTGAGGGTTCATTAAATTGCATGAATAGAGACGGGTCAAATAAATAGGCAAAGGGATTTTTACAGACAGAGATGAAGAGAAAAACCACTCACTGTATTTTATTTCATTTCTCCCAAATCAGAAATTCTTAGTATTTTGCTTATGTGTAAAAGTTGGTTTTGTGGTGTCCATAGATAAGTTTTGAATAAAGTAGTAGACAATCCAAGTACTTTATTTCTTATATCTTCTCAGTATAAGTTCCCATTTGTAATGGAAATTAACAATTCTAAACTAAATTTTACATGTCATATGAACTTCTAGAAGAGAATAAAAGCCAAAGCCATTTGGAAATGCAGTTATTAGATTTGATCACCTCCTGAAGTGCTACTTCAGGGCTAGTACCAATAAAAGAATAAACTAAGAACATGTTTCACCATTGGACTTACTAAGAAACGTGATAGCATACTTTAAAAACATAGTTGTAATGTTCTTAATGCAGACTTTTTCTTTGTAAAAAGTAAGTGAATGGCTGTTTATCTCCTGTGGAAATCCCAATTGCCTGAATTACTGATATTTTAGAAATAGACTGTTTTTAAAATACCATATGTAATTTTATGCAAGTTGACTATATATCTTGAACTTAATAAATTATAGGCTCATTTTGTTGTCCACTAGTTTAAACTAATTTGTTTAATAATAAATGTGTTTTCAGAGAAAATACTGTTATTTGAAATTAATTTTCCAATTATACATTCTTCTACAACTTGCTCATAATATGCTATATGTAACCTTATATAATTTCCCTAAAAAGAATAAACTACCACTATGGTGTTAAACCAAAATATGGGGAAAATAAACACTAACTGCTGCTTATGGATAATGTTGCTACTACTTGTTATGCATATAAATATTTTACTTTTTCATATGTATAGATTGCATTTCTTAGGTGTTTTAATTTTTTAAATATATTTACGTTTAAAGAAATTATTTTGTCTTCTCTTTTATAACTATTGAGAATTATATTATTAAACAATGTTTGGTTAAACAATTTTTAGAATTTTATAAACACACACACACTTGTGTACTAGATCCTTATACCTTTTAGTAGAATAGGTAATGTAGGCATATACCTTACAGTTTTATTGAGATAGAATTCACATGCCATTTTGATTTTCCCCTTTCTTTCCCTTCCTCCCTCCCTCCCTCTCTTTCTCTCCCTTCTCCCTTCTCCCTTCTCTCTCTGTCTTGTGCTAAAGAGTGAGCCCAGGATTGAACACATGCTAAGCACATACTTTCCCACTGCCCTGCACCTCCTGCCCCTTAGTTTGCCCTTGTGAAGTGGACAACTCTGTGGTTGTAGTGTTCACAGCTGTGCGGTCATTGCCATTAGTTCCACAATATTTTCATCACCCCAGAAAAACCCCACATCCATGAGCAATTACTCTCATTCTTTCCTTCTTCCATCTCCTGACAAACACTAATCTATTTATCTGATGGATCTACTCATTCTGGATATTTCGCATCAATGGAATTAATATGTGGCGCTTTTTTTTTGTACTGGGGGTCAAACTCAAGACCTTGTGCTTTTGAGGCAGGCGGCAGCACCACTGAACTAAATCCCCGGCCCTATGTGGCTTTTTTTTGTCTTGTCATTTCACACGATCTTTTTTTTTTTTTTTTTTTTTTTGGTACTGGGGATCAAACTCGGGTCCTTGCGCCTGTGCAGCAGGCAGTGAAACCACTGAGCTAAATCCCTGGCCCCCACACAACCTTTTTTAAAAATACATTTTATAGGGGTCGGCTCTTGGTCTTCCATGGACTCAGCTGTAGAGGTCTTGATCACCAAGCGGTCAGTGAGGACATAAGCCGGGTGGAACAGGGCTCCGTCCCACCTGTGCCCCACCCATGCCCCACATCCCAGTGACCAGCTTAGCTGCTAGGGTACCTGCAGCCCCCACCCCCACCTCTGACCTGGCTGTGCCGGTACCTGGTTCCACACTACAGAGGCACAGGGGTTCATAAAGGCCATTGTCCTGAGCTCCAGAAGATAGAGGAGAAATGAACAACAGAAAGAGGGCCTCTCTCAGGCTCCTTGATGAAAACTGAAGCCCACTGGAAAAGTGAAGAGAATCTCTGCAATAAAGACACACCAGACCACCGTACTTGGTAACTTGGAGGTATCATCACCTTCCATCGGAACCTGGACTATCTTCAGGGGAAAGGCAGCTGGAACTTGCAATAGAACCTTGCAGAGTTCAACCCTACAGGAGGACAGGGAGCTCAACTTGGGACTTGCAGCCAGAAATCTGTCTGAATCTCACAGGTCTGCTGCTGGCTTGCTGAGGCTCATTGACTTATATCTGCACAGTGCTGCCCACATTGTCTATTGTGACAGCAGAGACATACCCTGAAGGAGGCCCTTCATTTT